GGTACTGGGGGTTAGGATTTTAACATATGAATTTTGAGGAGACACCATTCAATCCCTAACAGCCTGTAACCCAGAGCGGTTTTTGCATGTTGAACCAACCTTGTATTCCTGGTGTAAAGCCCACTTGATCATGAGATCACTTAATCCTTTCTGTATGTTGCTGTGTTCAGTTTGTATTTTGTTGAAAACGTTTACAAATAGCTAGATAGAATTATTCTTTATTCTTACCATTCAAAGTGCTTTTACATATGTTATATCATTTTCCCTTAAACAGAATTCTCTGAGGTGGGTAGTATATTCATATTCACTAAAACAAACGGAGGCTCAGGAGAGCGAAGCAATTTTTCCCCAATTATAAATTTGCAGTAGTAGGTAGTATAGATTGGAATCAAAACTACAGATGGAAACAACATTAGGGGGATGAAAGAAAGCAGGATTTGGTAAGAACAAAGAGGAAATTTGGCTGGGTGGAAGTGAGCAGGGTCAATTTGAATGGCATCAGTGATCTCAATGATGTAAGAACTGAGGTCATCTGCTGATGTGCACAATAAGAGTAAATAGAATTGTGGTTTCAATTCATGCATGTAATTAAACCAAGTAGGGATGACAATTCTCATTAATTTTGAGACCATGATTTGACCAGATTAGCTGAAAGGAGAATAAACCAAAGTTTTGATGACAGGGATTTGACTGAATCGGTAGCTGTACATCCCTCCTTCATTCTTGGCAAGTTAATTTCAGGGTGACTGCCAATTCATACAATCTTGTGTGAGCCTTGATGGAGCTGTACTCTGGTGCTCTAGTGCTATGGCTGCTCAGTCAGGAAATGCTGAATTCAAATTCTATCTCTGGCCCCAAAAGATTGTGTGACTTTGAAAGCCATTTAATTCCTGCAAGACTGTATTCCCTCATCAAATGAAGGAATTGAGTCAGATATTCTCTAAACTCCCTTCTAATTTTATGACTTATTTAGTGAAATAAGGGGAGTGGTGATTCGGTTCACTGGAAATTTTCAAACAGCAGTGATGAATTCACTAAGGGTAGACTCAAGAATTACTGCAGAGCAATGAAGCCTCGTAGAGGATAGAGAGCAGTTAAGCCAGGCTGCGTAGCCAGTGAAAGTGGCAAAGTAAACAAGACTGGGGGGGGGCGGTGAAGGGGAGGCTACCCAGAGTTAGGAATATCGTGGGGTATATTATACAAAGCTATAGAAATCTAGGTGGCCAATTAATGAAAAAACAGCTACAAATAATTAAAACTAACTACAAATAATTAAAAAGCCAGACCAGAGAGTTCATGCTGTTATTTATCCCAGTTCAGGGGATGATGCTTACCGGAGTCCCTCCAGTAGTTTCTGAAGTCCTGGTTCATCAGCTTCTCTAATAATTCACAAGTCATGTTTCATTTCTCTGAACTGTCACATGACACTTCATAATGATCTGGCTCACCGGAGGTGATATTCTGATAATCGAGACATCTATTCTTCCATTTCATGTAAACTATTTTGTTATTTTTTTCACTCAAATGAAATGCACTCTTACTGCAAAAATTCAAACATACACATACATAACGTAGATAGCAACAGTGCTAGAATTCTTCCTCCCATCCATCCTTCCAGAACTTTTTTTTTTCTTTTTGGTGGGGGAAGGGAGAAGCAGAGAAAGAATCTCAAGCAGGCTTCACCCCCAGTGCGGAGCCCCTCTTGGGGCCCCATCTCATGACCAAAAACAAAGGTCAGACACTTAACTGACGGAGCCACTCAGGCACCCTCATCCTTCCAGACTTTTAGCATATCCAATCAATACAGAAGAATCTGCTAGAATTATTAAAATAAAAGATACAGAAGTAAAAATGTAAACTATGCAACTGGAAGCTACTGTCATCTTCTGAGTGTGTGTTATGATTAAAATAACTTACTCTTTATCAGTTCTTGACTTCAGGAAGAAGAAAAGTAGAATTTTAATAGTTTCTTCTATCTGATGTTAAAAAATTTTATTATGGAAAGTTTCAAGAATATACAAAAGTAGAAAGAATAATTCCTACTGCTCAGCTTCAAAAACTATCAATATATGGTCAATCATGTTTCATCTATATGCCCTATTCCCCCTACCTTCTCCCATAGATTATTCCCATCTATTATTCCCAGATTATTTTAAAGCAAATCCCAAGAGATTCCCAAACTCATTCCATTTGAGATCTAGAATTTTTTGATTTCTGAGTTTCCCTCTGTGCTTTGTTTTTTCCAATTCCAAAAAATATTTACTCATGTTCTCTCTAGCTAATACCTGCATGATCTCATTCTTCGGTTTCAATCTCAAGAATTTTAAGTCTATTACTATTTAAGATTAAAAAACACCCTGCAGATATTAGGGATAATGCTTAGGAACAGGTACCTGAAATGTCTTCTACATGAGATTCCAGTTATCTATTCTTTAATATTCCGGCCAATAGAACTTAACCCCCGAGTTTTCGAAAATGTTGCTAATAGCTAGCCAGATTCTTATCTCAACACTTGCATTCTTGCCACCCGATCTTCCTATTTGATTGTCTTAAATTAATCCAATTAGTCAAAGAAAGGAGATTTGAGAAATATTTAGGGATGAACAATAATTAAAAATGCTAATGATTTGAACATAAAAATTGTCTTTTTTTCTTGAGGCAGAAAGACCCATTACTAATTTGAGTCACACTGTTGGTTGACCCAACATCTAGCTATAGTCCCTTAGTTTCCTATGTGTAAAATTTGGATAGCAACACTATTTACCACTATGTAGAAAAATGAAACTTATGTTTTGATCTTCTTGTAAAAAGTGAGCTGCCTCATTATTAGCTGTGTTTGTTTTTAGTCTTTAGCTCAATGAATTAATCCTTGGTAAATAAATATTCTCTTCTACATGTAGACGAATGGAGATATAGAAATCAAGAGCTTGTAGAATGTTTTTAAAGTCTGAATGACTCTAGACAAAATTTGCCACTTAAATGTTTAAAATTTGAGATCAAATTTACAGTGTTCATTTAAACCATTTTGAGAACGTACAATTCAGTGTTTTTATGTATTCACAAGATTGTGCAATCATCACCACTAATTCCAGAACATTTTATCACCCCCAAATAGAAATCCCCTTCTCCCCATTTGCTGGCAACAACTGATAAACTTTGTTTTTAAAGATTTGGCTATTCTGGCAATTTCATACAAATGGAATCATACAATATGTGGCTTTGGTGTCTGACTTCTTTCACTTAAGCATGTTTTTAAGGTTCATTCATGATGCCGCAGAATCAGTACTTCCTTTCTTCTGGCTGAATAATATTCCATTGTGTGGATATAGCACATTTTATTCATTCATCAGTTGATGGATATTTGGGTTGTTTCCTTTTTTGGCCATTATACACAATTATGCCATGAACATTCAAGTACAAGTTTCTATATGAACAAGTTTTCATTTCTCTTGGGTACACACCTAGCAGAATTACTGCATCATTAGCATAACCAAGCTTAACTTTTTGAGGAATTGCCAAATTGTTTTTGTAAGTGGCTACACTTTTTTATATTCCCATTAGCAATATGAGAGTTCCAATTCCTCCACATCCTCACCAACTTTTTTGTCTTGTTTTGTTCACAGTTATAGATGCCTGGTTGGTATAAAAGTGGTATCTCATTGTGGTTCTGATTTGCATTTTTTAAATTTAATTTTTTAATTATTTATTTATTTGACAGCGAGAGGGAACACAAGCGGGAGAGTGGGAAAGAGAAAACATGCAAATCCCTCCCACTGAGCAGAGAGCCCGACGTGGGGATTGATCCCAGGACCCCGTGATCATCACCTGAGCCAAAGGCAGACATTTAATGACTGAACCACCCAGGAACCCGTGATTTGCATTTTTCTAATAACTAATGATGTTGAGCATCTCATTTGCTTGGTGGCTATTTGTATTTCCTTGGAGAAATGTCTGTTCAATCCTTTGACCATTTTAAAATTGGGTGATCCTGAGTTATAAGAGTTCTATGCATACTCTGGAGAGATCCTACTTAGATTAAAGCCAAAACAAAAATAAGAGCTGTTGGAGAGCAAGACTGAGCCATAATGACCTATTTTGGACTCTTGTACTCATTCATGCCTAAAGTCAGACCTGCCTCCATGAACCAACACATTCTTGGGGGCTAATCTGACTAGAATGATGGAGAGATAATCTCCCCTGTCAGGGTCCCTCAAGTAGAATGGGACTTTTCCCTATTGTAGTTTTTCTGGTCAATCCCCAGGCCCCACCCTATACTGTAGGCACTGGATTGGAGGTAGAGGAAAGATGAATGATGTCTGTCACAAGAAGTGCCACGTCCAATCCCACAGGGCCTGGCAGAAATTTTAAGACCACAGAGACCTTTGCACAACCTCATAATGCTTGTTAAGTGCCACAACTTAAAAAATAAAGCGACAAAGTAAATACTCAAAGTAACTAACCTATGGGCAGATAAAAAGCATCAAGTGCTAGAGGAGATAAATACAGAGAATACAGAATCCTTATATTAGGTAAAGGCATGGTTGCCATTAACTAATATTGTTACATGTTTCCCAAATTACTTTTCTATCTATTGTTGTCCCTAGGTTGCCTAGAAAGATCAGCCTATGTGGCCTCAAGCACTACTACAGGTTCCAATCAGATGAGTCCAAAAGTATAGGGCTCACTATGTGGATTTGAACAGGAGGCTAAGGAGAAAGTAGAGAAATTAAGGGTCATATAGGAAGCTGATACATAGCAGCTTTGTATGTATCTTTGGAAAATATATGAGGGATTAAATATTTTTCTACATGAAAACAAATGACACTGTGGTAGTGAGGCAGAACAATACTCAAAATATGATGTTTGCCATGTCTATGCTACAGTGAGTGCCAGTAAGAGATGTGTGGTCACAGTATAATGGGAGATACATTAATTATAATAAGAGCTACATACAGGTGGTTCATCAAAGAGGAAGAAACACAACCAGAGGCAGACACAAGATCTGTAAACTACATTTATTAAGTACTTACTGGGCAGTGGATACAACCGATACAAAAGAGTTAGGATGGGGACAGGTAAGAACTTAAAAAATTAAATACACATGTTCATTTACCATCTATTTCTACCAAGAAAGTACAAAATTTGTACAACTTATACTTTATTATGAAATTGTGATGCCTGTCAAAAGGATAAACTATATATACAATGCAAAAATTCTTTTTAAATTGTGCTTAACATCATTAGAGTTACCCCAAAATGGGTTGATAAATGCCTATACAGCATTCATTCTTATTACCCACATCTATTTCACCTTAAAGATTGCTTGAAAAGTACAAATCCTTTGACCCCCATTGCTGGAAATCTGTGGTCAACACCTGTATGTGTCGTTTCTCTAAGAAACACCATGGCATTTGCAGTCCATCTCTCCCTTAAAGTCCATCATATTTTCAGCTTAGCTTACCAGCAAGTTCTCTTAGAACTATTTATATGTCTTTTGTTTGATCATCTTCTTCAAGTTTCCTGATTTCATTTTTTAAACAATTTATAGTTTCACGACTTGCCTTTAATCTCTCCTTAAGCTCTGCAATTTCAAAGCTTGTTTTTTTTTTCGCAGCTTCTAATTTTTCTCTGGTTTTCACTTCAAGTTCTGCAACTGAGGAAAACATTTTTATTGAACATTTTCATTTTTCTCACATGTCTAAGGTATGTCAGAGAGTAATAAATATGGCATTTCCTTACGTCAGTTTCCATGATGAAATATAAACAACTTAAGATACATTAAATATAGGGAGGGAAGTAGAAAGTCTTAAACTCTCACAAGAGAATCTAAGACACTTTCTACAACTGAGAATGAAATTCTGGTCACTCACAATTTATTTCACAATTAAGACGTTAAGATATAATGTCCTTGTTTTTCTCTCCACATACATATTAATTTGGAAATAAGGTGGCATATAATCCAAGAGACATCCAGCCAATAAGAAGAGATAACTAAACACAGTGTTCTTAAATGTATGTACAGTAAAGCTTACATAAACAAAATCATGCTGGTAAAACAAATCCCTTTTTTTTTTTTTTTAAAGGTTTTATTTACTTATTTAAAAGAGAAAGAATGAGAGAGAGAACGAAAGGGGGGAGGGTCAGAGGGAGAAGCAGGCTTCCCGCTGAGCAGGGAGCCCAAAGTGGAACTGGATCATGGGACCCCAAGATCATGACCTGAGCTGAAGGCAGTCACTGAACCAATTGAGCCACCCAGATGCCCAAACCCATTTATATACCTATAAAATTATTTTTTAATAGCAATAACCACCTAGGTCTAAATTCCAGCTGTACTATTTACTAGCTGTGCCACTCTAAGTTTATTATTTCTATGCTCATTTCTCATTATGATGAGATATATTATAATGGGATTACAATAAATACCTCATATTATTTGAAAAAGATTTTTAATATTTAACTTCTAGTTTTAATTGTCTCATTTAGTATATTTTATGACCTATTTCTTTCCCCCAAACTAGTCTTAATGGTTTTACAGAAGTTCTGGAGATAATGTGCTCTTAGTTGAGGTTTTCTATTTTCTTGGTGCTCGTGGAATGACTCCTACTGGTATTAATGACCAGCGAGTAAAGAGGGCTTAGCATCTTAGTAAGGAGACCTGTAAACTTTCATTTTTAGTTCATATGAATACTTATATTCAAAAATTTTAAATGAATTAATGTACATAAAGTATCTAGAACACTGTTAGGTACATAAAATGCCTTCCGAACTACAATTATGACAGAGAAACACTAAATGATATTTAAAACATTCTAGCTGGTCACATAACAAATTACTAAAGAAAGTATCATTACTGCAAAATAGAACACAACTATTTAAATATCCCACTTGGATAGTGTAGTATTATGTTTTACAAAGAAAAATGCCTACTTTTTGTCCAGCATTTCCCTCTTGTGGACATTTCAGGTAATTGCTGCTGATGACTATGAAAGCACAGTTGTTCCTTTTTTTTTTTTTTTTTAAGATTTTATTTATTTATTTGACAGACAGAGATCACAAGTGGGCAGAGAGGCAGGCAGAGAGAGAGGCAGAAGCAGGTTCCCCGCTGAGCAGAGAGCCCGATGCAGGGCACGATCGATCGCAGGACCCTGAGATCATGACCTGAGCTGAAGGCAAAGGCTTTAACCCACTGAGCCACCCAGGTGTCCCCACAGCTGTACTTTTGATGAGCACTAATTGGAAGCAGCATGGTTTGGTGTGTGGGGGGGTAACCCTTTGAAATCACAAAGACTTCAGTTCAAATACAACCTTGGCCCCTTATTAGCTAAGTGCTGACATTTCCTAAGTCTCCCTCAATCTAGTTTCGATTTGGTACAGTTCAAACTGTATTTCTCAGAGAATATCTGAGGATTAAGTAATAAATGTAAAGCATCTAGCACATTAAAAACATGCAATACTATTTATTTTGTTTATGGCCAGTGACTTTCTTTTTATGATATATTTTATAATACAGGTAAAATTTTATATTGCCAAAACAATTATTTTTCTTTGTAATTTCTTTCACTGCTTTTAACTTTGAAAATTATTTTTGAAAATAGAGGAGTACCTATATATGATACAAGATTAAAAGGCTGTAAATGTAGATAATGAAAAAAGTTTCTACCTCTGCCCCCCCACCCCCACCAGAAACACCAATCAGTGTTTTTTCCCAGAGATAATCAGTTTGGGGATTCTTTGGTATCTTTCCAGAAATATTTTGTTCATAGACAAGAACACATCTAAGTGTGATTTCTTCTTAACCCCCAAAACAAGTGGTATCATACTATCTACACACTACTCTGTATCTTGCTGCTTCACTTAATATTATGTCTGAAAGCCCATTCCGTATCCTACAGCTGTCTCATTCTTTTCATGGCTGCAGGTGACTTCACCTAATGGACATACATAACTCATTAATCTGTCTCCTTTGACATACACAGTATTTCCATTTTTTCTTTCATAAACAATGCTACGGTATACGCTATAATTATTTCAGTATATTTGTGGGATAATGAGTACACTTGTAGGACAAATACCTGTAAGTACAATTGTTGGGCTATATGTACTTGTAACTTTGAAGGAATGCCAAATAACTCTTAAAGGTTCTATTACTTTCCAATCCCACTAGCATTATGTCTGTTTCCCTACTGTATCAATCTCTTGGTCTCTGTTACCCTGAAAGGTTAAAAAGGGTATTTCAGGGTATATTTAATTTGCCTTTCTCTTTTTCCTACTGAAGTGGGCCAATCTTTTTATGTTTAGGAGAGACAATTTCTCCTTCCCTTTGTATGGATTGTCTTTCTTTCCTTTGCTGTTTTTTTCTTTCCTTTTTTTTTTTTTTTTTTTAATTTTATTTATTTATTTGAGACGGAGAGCACATGAGCAGGAGCAGAGGGAGAAGAAGAAACAGACCAACCACTGAGCAGGGAGCCTGATGTGAAAGGCACTTTGTTAGATGCTGGGGTGAGGTAGACAATAGATAAGAAAGGAAAATGCTGTACAGTGTCATAGGGAGCTATGAGAGCAGACTGGATTCATACCAGTGTGAAAGGGTGTGTGTATCAAGGAAGACTTCTTGGCAGCAGTAAAATCGAGCTGAGTTTTAAAGAATGAGAAAGGAATTAGATGGATGAAATAGACATCTCAGGCCCTGGAAACAGCACATACAAATTTGGGAAACAACAAGCAGTCATTACAACAGTTAACAGGTAGTTTTAAATCTAGCCAGGAAGACCTAATCCAACTTATTTGTCAAAAGGACAGCATACACTACAGATAGAGATTCTTGTTGTTTGGTTTAGTCATTACACTTTATTTTCTGACCAATCATAAGACTGCAAAGGGCACGATGTATTTGGAGGAAGACCTAATTCGCAATGAGGATTGTAAGGAAAAAAAAAACTTATTTTAGCTTATTTCAGTTTTCTATTTCCTATATATTAAATGCTTATAAAAAGAAGAATAATTTGTTTTAAACTTCTAAATTAAGCCTCAATTTAGAGTAAACAAATCCAAAGAGGACTATTATTTTTATAAAGCCAATATAACTTACTGGTTAGAAGCACAGACTGTAAGGCTTTTACACAGAGATAAAACAACTTATCGATAGAACAAACAGAACAGCATGGATTCAGGTTAAATCCTGGCTCTGTTGGGTGATTTGAAACAAGTCATTAAATCTCACTATGCACTAGGGCCTTTATCCCACAGAACAGGGCTAACAGTAGCATCTTCTTCCTAGGGTTGTCATACCCATACTTCAAGAAGTTCAGAAATGTAAAACACTTATCTACTATACAGTAAGCCCTCATTAAGTGTGTACTATTATTCTAACTATTCCTTGTAGAAGCAATTATTATTATGATTAGCTGGATCACTGTGCTTGAGCAAATCTCCATGAATTTGTTAGCAGTAATGTTTTATAAACTTTCAATACGCTTCATAAATGTATTCTCTGACCTGATCTATAAACTCCACCAAAGGTGTTCCCTACCCTCCTGTTTTTCTCCCTATCACCTAATTACTAACTTACACTTTACTGTTTTGTTAATTTAGTCTTTACCTTTCTCTCAGTAGAGTGTAAGCTTTAGGAAGGAGGGATTTTTATCTGGTCTGGACACGGCTCTCTCTTCAGAACCTAGATTAATGTCTTGTATGTAACTGGTGCTCAATATATACCGTAAACAAATTAATGGATGATCAAAGAACTGAATGAATGGTGACACAAATGTTAACACAAGGATGGCAAATAGGTATCATCTTGAATACCAACTGCAAATGACTGGCAGTAGCTGCATGGAGAGATGTATAAGGGATTCTGACACCATGTCAGCTTAGAGGGAAAATATAACATGACTAATTATCAACGTCTCATTCTAGTATTCACCACCCCAGCATTAATCTGAAACTATGTGAAATGGCATAGGGTAAACAAAGAGAGAGAAACTAGTTCACAGTACAGTAGTCCCCCCTTATCCATGAGGAACATATTCCAAGACCCCCAGTAGATGCCCGAAACCATGGGATAATTCTGATTTCTATATCCACTATGCTTTTTCCTTTGCATACAGACCTATGATAAAGTTTATCAATTAAGCACAGTAAGAAACTAACAATGACTAATAAAAATATCATCATTTTAATAGCATACTGTCATAAAAGTTACATAAATGTGGTCTAAGTATCTGATTGTACTGTACTCCCCCTTCTTGTAATGATATGATATGATAAAATACCTAAGTAGTAAGCTGAAGTGAGGTGAATGACGCAAGCCCTGTGACAGAGCATTAAGCTACCAATGACCGTTTGACAATGTGTCAGGAAGAGGATCACCTGCTTCTGCTGTTGACCATAAGTAACTGAAACCTCGAAAAGTAAAATCATGGATAGGGGATACTACTATATACAAAAGTATACAGATGACCTTTGAACAACATGGGTTTGAATTGCACGGGTCCACTTATACATGCATTTTTTTTTTTGGTCAGTAAATACAGTACGGTACTATAAATGTATTTCCCTTATGACTAACATTTTTTCCTCTATCTTATTTTAAGACTAGAAATATATAATATACAAAATATGTATTAACTGACTGTTCATCAATAAGGCTTCCAGTCAGGAGTAGGCTATTAGTAGTTAAGTGTTTGAGAAGTGAACAGTTACAGAGATTTTTGACCATCAGTGGGTGCAGCAGAGGAGGGTGGTCAGCAGCTCTAAACCTGGTGTTGTTCAAGGGTCAACTATAATTATGTTCTGCAAGGTTCTTCACAGATTTTATTAGCAAGCACTAGTAAACAGAAAATGACTGACGGGTTAAGCAAAACTAATGGAAAGCTATGCTAAAATGTGATTAGGGAATAAAAGACGGTATTTCAGAGAATGTGAGACGCTATTTTGTGAACAATTTAAAACATCCTTCTTAGAGATTCTATAGTAATACATATATTTTTTTAACTCCTAAAAAATTTACCTTTATATATCCCTAGAAAAAATTTAATAGTCACTAACCATAATCCTTTCACCATTATAGAATACATTATATTTCAGGATTAATTATGAATTCATGGCACTTACATTCTGTTTCATGCTTATAGGCTCCTAATGTTAGCTGGCGAGATGTTGTTAATAACTGCTGCATCATTGCTGTTGGGTCTTGAAATATCTAATGGGATAGAATGAAAAAAAGCCCAATAACTTCAAAGTTCTACAACTTAAAATGCTTTTAAAATTCTCATTATAAAATCCTCTTACCATTTCATCATAGAACTCTGAAACCACTGTCTTTTTTCCCAGCATTGCATTGGTGTCTGACTGAAACAGCTTTAATAAATGATAGAGGGTTACCTGTGAAATAAAAATAGATGTCACATCTGTGCAATGGTTTTCATCATTGTGAGACATCATGATTTCTGTAACTGAATTAGAAAGCAGAATTAGTTAACATGTCAAATTCAAGATCTTATCTCAACTACAAGTTACTGTGCAGCAAATCACTCAAATTCTGTACTTTTATTCTGTACTTTTATTTTCCTATTAGGTATTATTATCCATCCACATCTACTAAACATGAATGTTTTAAAGAGGGCGGGTATGGATGTCAGAAAACATCTCTACAGAGTAACTATGTAGAAAAATAACATGAAATACAACTATAGAAATTAAACTGGAAATTCACTAAGATTAACTTTTTTACTTACACAAGTGAAATGAGATTACTTTTACAGTTATTCTGCCCAAGATTAAAGTTTATAAATTTACAGGGGGAGGAAAGATTTGACACTTTCAAAATAAATAACCAAGACTAAAATGCTCAGTGAAGGCAAGATTATTTTCTCTGGTGATCTATAATATTATTACACAAATAACCTAATAAACAAGTTTGTCAATGATAATTCACTTTGGTAGAACCAACATGTCTTCAAAATACACAGAAACAGGTATAATAAGACATCAAAGGAAAAGCTTTGCAGCACAATGTGTGATTACTTGAGCAAAATAAAACCTAGCTAATAAAACAGCAGAGTTGATATTAAAGTTGCAGAAACCAATCCAGAGGCCTCAAAGAATTTTCCAAAAGGTTAGCTTAAATAATTCTAAGAAGCATGCATTATTGCTATATTTAAAGCAGACAATTTAACGAGTTTCTCAAGTAGACAGAATGGAGATGAGACTACACAAGTGGACAAACCGTAATAGAGAAATTGACAACATGAAAACTCAAGGCAGAAAGCAGCATTACAGGTTGGAACCAGAGGAGACGGGGGATTCCAAGCCCAAAGTCGACAAGTACAGAAATCAAGAATGCTGTGTGGTGGCAGGGCCCATTAACCTTCCTTCTCCCATCACTCAGACATGAGACAGCACATCCTCCTGTGAAATTTAGATGTTTTTATGCAAACAACCAAGTATGAGGTCAAAATAAAGATATTTTCAGTAGCAATGGCTCTGAAGGTTTCTCGGGCATTATTTCTGAAGAAATTCCTCTAGAGAAATGAAAAAAGCCTGAAACAATGAAGAAAAAGGATCATTTGTCATCACATAACGAAGTGACAGGTACTATTGAAAACTGAAAAATCCGAACTTGGAGATTCAAATATGTGAGATGCATGGGAGTATTTTCTAGAGAAACAGAAAACAATCATTGTGGTTTTCCTAGGGAAGGGGCCAGAGGTGGGAGAAAGATGTTATGGGTTGAACTGTATCCCCTAAAAAGATATGCCGAAGCCCTAAGCCTCAGTACTAGTAAATGTGACCTTATTTGGAAATAGGTCTTTGCAGATGTAATAAAGTTAAGATGAGAGTTTTAGCTAAGACCAAAATAATATGACTGATGTCCTCCTAAGAGACACAGAGACAAGGAAGGAGAGGAGCCAGACGACAATGGAGACAAAGATTTTAGTTATGCCACCAGAGCCAAGAAACCCTCTGGGCTACCAGGAACTAGAAGATGCCAGAAAGGATCCTTTCCTAGAGGTTTTAGAGAGAGCATGGCCAATACCTTGCCCTCCAGAACTGTGAGAATAAATCCCTGTTGTTTTTAGCTACTCAGTTTGGGGTGCTTTGTTATGGCAGCCCTAAGAAACTCATGCAGGAGACCTGTATTATTTATTTATTTAATCTATTTTATTTGTTTATTTTAAGATTTTATTTATTTGATAGACAGAGATCACAAGTAGGCAGAGAGGCAGGCAGAGAGAGGAGGAAGCAGGCTTCTGGCTGAGCAGAGAGCCCGATGCGGGGCTCAACCCCAGGACCTGTGATCATGACCTGAGCCGAAGGCAGAGGCTTTAACCCACTGAGCCACCCAGGAGCCCCTGTTTATTTTTTTTCAAGATTTTATTTATTTATTTGACAGATCACAAGTAGGCAGAGAGGCAGGCAGAGAGAGAACGGGAAGCAGGCTCCCCGAAGAGCAGAGAGCCCGATGTAGGACTCGATCGCAGGACTCTGGGATCATGACCCGAGCCAAAGCAGAGGCTTTAACCCACTGAGCCACCCAGGTGCCCTGTATTTTTATTTTTAAAATCTTTTTTTAAACCATGTACATACTGTACTTTTATAATTTATGAATGATTTAAAACTGCATCATAAAACTATCCTTCCTTGAATTTATTATTCAGACACTTAGAGGCATTCATGTAGATGCAGACAATGAAAAATGTCAAGACAAATGTCTCTAATTTTAAGAGGTGTTTGAAGATTCTTAGATCAATGAAAATGCCTAAACTAGACACAAAGATATTTCTAGGAATAAAAACCCAAGTTCAGCATTTTGGTTTTTAGGAACAATCATTCCTTTTATAATGATTTGGTCTATAATCTATAATGGTTTGATCTATAGATTTTTAATCTATAACTGGGTAACAGGAATAAATCACATGTTACCTCTCTCTGTCTTTATTATTTTAAATAAAACATCATGACTTATTTTAAAAGAGCCAACAATTAAAGGGATGCCTGGGTGGCTCAGTCATTGGGCATCTGCCTTTGGCTCAGGTCACAGTCCCAGGGTCCTGGGATCAACCCCCGAGTCAGGCTCCCTGCTTGGCAGGGAGGCTGCTTCTCCCTCTCCTGCTCCCCTGTGCTTGTGCTCCCTCTCTCAGTTATAAATGAATATAATCTTAAAAACAAAACAAAACAAAAAAAAGCCCACAATTAAAAAAGTGTAATGGTTTCATTATACTAAAAGAACATGAGACACAGTTTTGGGGTGATAAAATTCAGGCCTGTGTAGCTCTATATGGAAATCTATTCAATAAATTAATCACTGCAGAAGTACAATAACCACTCTTTCCAAGAGTGGATTTTGAGAGTTGTCTCATAACAATGTTATATGATATAATGATTTCTTTCAGAGATGTATTTTCCAATTGGGAGTGATGGATAGGACAGATGAAGAACAGGCAAGTAAGGCAACACATTCTCAAAGTAAAAATGAATTCAGGTAATCTTACAAAGTTAAAAAGAGTTTCTGCACTAACAGCATTACTGATTTCTTTTCCTTCTCTCTCAACATCTGCTGTATTTCTGGGTTCTATCCTTCCTAATAGACTATTTTCATTAAGGACAGGAGCAGAATCTCATCTTTGTATCCTACCCCTTGAATAGTATCTTGGCAAGTAATGGATATTTAATAATTTCTTGCCAGATAGAATATAATGTCTGTTGCGAGTATTCTAGAAGAACGAAAGAATGATAGGACATCTGAAAACCTTATCACATGGAAAACATTTAAATGAGCTATATATGTTATTCAGGAGAAAAGAAAATGAATATATGAATAGTTAGTTATCGGTAAAAAGTCCAAGGTGGAGCTTTTTTTCTTTTTTTAAGATTTTATTTATTTGACAGAGAGACAGATCACAAGTAGGCAGAGAGGCAGGCAGAGAGGGGGAAGGAGGCTCCCTGCTGAGCAGAGAGCCGGATATGGGCTTGATCCCAGGACCCTGAGATCATGACCTGAGCTGAAGGCAGAGGCTTAACCCACTGAGCCAACCAGGCGCCCCTAAACTAGAGCTTTCTTACCACCAGAACTACCCCAGATCTGAATAGGATCTTTCACTTAATTGACAAAGTCAATAGTCTCTCTACTGGAGACAGCAAGCCCAAACAAGACTCATTTGAAAGACTGCCTAAAGGAATTCCTACGTATGAGAAGTATGGCCTATACCTATGGGTCCTAAGTCTTACTGTGCACCAAAATCACACGGGTTATTTTGAGGGGTACTGGCCCCTCTCCAAACCTACTAAATCAGACTCTCCAGGGGATGGGGCCTAGGAGTTTGAATTTTTGAAAAACAACTCCAATATCTCTGGAGCAGTCCACTAGGAACTAATTCTCTGACTACAGGCCCAGGTCATAGCTCTGTTAGAAGCCCATACACTTTTAAAAATGTAATCTGATTATAAAAGTATAAATGTTTGGTGCTAAAGGAATGCACTGAATCTATCAAGATGAAAATTAATGGTGATGATCTGAAACTGGAGTTAAACACCAACCACACAAGTGGAATGGGAGCTATAACTGAGTTGTAACCCTATGGGTTTACAAACAAAACAAGCTGAGTAGTTTTAGTCCAAAGGAAGGATAATGCAAAGAATGTGAGGTCTGAATGCAAATAAACTGGGTTCAAAAACTAGCTGCCACAGTTAACTGTGTTTCTGAGCATATGACTTTATCCCTGAACCTTAGTATCCTCATCTCTAAAATGATGATATCCTCAACCTCACAAAACTGCTGAGGGATCAAAGTGAACGTTTTGAGGGACTTTTTACATTATCAAGCAACAATCTGGTAAGAAGAGAACAAAAGAAAAAAAATCAGTGGTTGTAAATAAAAATTCTTGCATAAAATAAAGCTGCTAGTAGTGATAGCAACTTAAAAAAGCAAAAACACTGTTGCTAGGGTTTTTAACTATAAAAACCAGATACTCTCATTCTGAAGAGCAGATGGACTCATCTTGTTTATTACTAATAATCAAATAATATTAATGAATTTTAAACTTTTTTTTTTTTGAAGATTTTACTTATTTGATAGACATAGCGAGAGAGGGAACACAAGCAGAGGGGGTGGGAGAGGCAGAGAGAAAAAGGCTTCCCGCTGAGCAGGGAGCCCAATGTAAGCTCAATCCCAGGACCCTGGGATCATGACCTGAGCCGAAGGCAGAAACTTAACAACTGAGCTACCCAGGTGCCCTGAATTTTAAACTTCTGCTGTGGTAATCACATGATTCCATGGTTTCTTTCTGAGAAATGTTCACATTATATCCCTTCTTTCTATAACTGAAAAATAAGTTTTGAAAGGTACTTCCCATAAAAATGAAAAACCTTAACTCATGGCAAAATACACCATGCTATAAGCTTACATAAAGTGTATCTGAATAAAAATGTCAATATATAACAAACTATTCATTAAGTATGTTACATTTTCACAATTACAAAAATCTATTTTATGTTTACAAGGATTATCATTACTCACAGGTCTCTCATTAGGATCAATGAAAAATATTTTGATGATTATTTCAAATTCACCCCATCCTGTTTCAGTAATTTCATAGGGAGGTTTAGTAACAACTGAAAAGAAAAAAAATAAAACAATTATAAATTATAAATTACTGGTACAGTCTCCTACATCTTTTTAAATTTGTTAAATAAATTTTATATTATGAATCAAAAAACTGTACTATACCTCTTAAAGGATTGCCATAGCTTTCATGTAATTTAAATTGGATTTTCTTCACATATGCTGACATATCCTGAAATAGAGGAATTAGTTCTGTCATCTACATATAAAAACTATAAGGAAAATACACTGAGCATTGTACCTAATTTCATAAAATATACTTTCCCTCAAATACTACGGAATCTAATTTTCTTTTCATTCCAGTATAGTTAACATACAGTATTTTATTAGTTTCAGGTGTATAATATAGTGATTGAACAATTCCATATATCAACCAGCGGTCAACACGACAAGTGTATCCCTTAATCCCTACTGGAATCTATAATTTTCTAAAAAATGTGAATTATACCTAGGTTTGGTTTTTATTTTAAACAAAGGAGGCCTGAGTTGAATTCTTTCATAATGTAATATACAGGAACGTACATATCCCTAATTTACTTGTTTTGCGAATCCCATTTTTATATATCTCTACAATGCTCTATATTTTATGTATTATATTACATAAAAATATTGTATATAAATATAAATAATAAAATAAATTTACACTTATTTATATATTAAATATAAATATTAATGTTTTATTTAAATATAAAAATAATTTATATTTATATAGACTTAAAATTTTTATATATGATTTATATATAAGATATATATTATATATGATATATATTATACATAATAAAATTCATATAAATATTTAAAATTTTATATTAAATTTATATAAATATAAATAATTTATATTTAAATATAAAATAATAGTACATTTCCAATATATTTTATAGAAATAAGAATATAAACTAAAGCACATCTAAGAACTAAGCAACTTTAAAGAATAAAATTATATTACGTAAAGCTAAGGTCAACTAAACTAAGTAACCTAAAACCATCAGATATAAGACTCCTCCTTTTCCTAATCTTATTTTGAAGCACAGAAGCACATTCAGTAGTTCTGACACATAAAGGGATACTCCTAGGGCAAGTGACTTTTTCAAAAAAAAATTTCACTGCAGAAAAATAAAATGCAAAACTGAATCAGTCACACTTGACACTAATGTTCATTAATCTTTTTACTTGCTTTTGCGAATTTTTTTCATATGATTATCTACATTTTTTTAAAATTGGGGTCATAATGATATACTAACATCTGCTTTGACCACGTAACATTATATTGTCATCATTTTTTGAGGCAGCTTTTCATAAGCATATTTGAAGATTCTCTGGCAATATTTTCTTTCGTTTTTTTCTACAAATGACCAATACTGGGTACCAGAGACTACAATGGTAAATAGACTCTTGCCCTTATTGGGAGGGAGTAGACAAGAAAATCAGCCATTTCAATGTAATCTGTGTTAGGAGGGCAATAGGTATAAGTTCGTAGGAACGGCATCTAATTTAATTTTTGGAGATTGAGAGTAGTTCAGAAGAAAATACACTTAAACTTGGACCCAAGGTAACAATAAGAATGGAGTAGATGGGAAGGAGTGAATGAAGACATTTTAATTAAGAGTGTCCCTTTGGGAAACTGAGAGTAATCTAGTATTGATGGAATGTAGGGTATATGATGAAGCAAACACAGCAAGGGATAAGGCTGCAGGCACAGAACTGGGAAAGACCATGGTAGGCCTTTTAAAACCATTTTATTTATTTAAGATTTTATTTTTATGTAATCTCTATTCCCAACATGGGGATCGAACCCACAACCCCAGATCAAGAGTCACAAACTCTACTGACTGAGCCACCTAGGTGGCCCTAAAACGCAATAGTTTTAACTTTATCCTAAGGGCAATAGCACTGAAGGTTTTCTGTTTTGTCTTTCTAGGTAACAGCTTTATCAAGATATTCATATACCACACAATTCACCCATTTATAGTAACTCTTCAATGGTTTTCAGTACATTCAAAATTGAACAACCATCCCCACAATCAATTTTATAATGTACTTATCATACACAAAGAAACCCTATACCCATTAGCACTCACTCCTAAATCCCTCTTCCCCCCATGCATTGGCAACCACTAATCTATTTTCTGTGTCTATGGATTTGCCTGTTCTGGACATTTTATTTTTTTATTTTTTAAAAGATTTTATTTATTTATTTGAGAGAGAGACAGTGAGAGAGAGCGTAAGAGGGGAGAAGGTCAGAGAGAGAAGCAGACTCCCCATGGAGCTGGGAGCCCAATATGGGGCTCGATCCCCCGACTCCAGGATCAAGACCTGAGCCAAAGGCAGTTGCTTAACCAACTGAGCCACCCAGGCGCCCTATTCTGGACATTCTATAAAAACGGAATCATCCAATATACGGCTTTTGGTTTGGCTTCTTTCACTTACCATAATGTTTCTAAATTTATTCCATGTGGTAGCAGCACATTTCAGTACTTTATTTCTTTTTCCTGCCTAGTAATAGTCTGTTGTATGGATATACCACATTTTACTTATCCATTCATCAGCTGAAAGATACTTGGATTGTTTCCATTTTTTTGGCTATTATGAATGCTCCTGCTACAAACATTCATATACAAATTTTTGTGTGAACTTTAAACGGTTTTAAATCTACAAATATTCATTCAATGAATATTTGCCGAGTACCTACTATGTACTGACTGTATTCCAGGCATTAGAGATTCAGCAGCCAAACAAAATTACCAGCAGCCAGATTATAGTTTGTCTTTCACCTTCCTGATGGTCTTATTACTAAATTGTTCCTAAAAAGTATGAACTACCCTTCCTGAAACACCTGATTAAATACGAAGCTAACTTAAGACAATGATTGGAAGATGTGCTGTGTTTATAGCATGGTTCTTGTTATCATAACTTTAGTTAGAAAACATTATTGGAAAATTGATTTCTACTAACAGTTATGTGAAGACAACTCTCACTTTATTCTTTCAACATCTGGGGGATGACATTTCTACAATGTGACAATTTTATAACCAGAATGTTATCTATAATATTATAATTTATCTTCAATCAAAAACAAATGGTAGCTTCAAAAAAGTTACAGGAGAAACAAGTGCCTACCTCATTTCTATATGGTTTTACATACACTGTCCACTGATGGGTGTGCCCATCCTCTTCTCTTTTCTTTCCAAAATACCGAGCAACATTACCATAAACTATTGGTTTAACGATAGTAACCCCCTAAAAGAAAAATAATTTCAACACCAATTAATACTGCATCATTACCCAAATATACAGAATAAGAGCTCTGAAAACTTGTTTTAAGGAATGGAAAGCAATCTAAATAATTAGTTTATTTATATTTATATAATTGGGCTCGAACCCAGACCTTCACTCTCCCGCCGGAGTCAGGCCCAAATTCGGCCATTCTCTTGAACATATTGTCCTACGGAAGAAGCCGCCGCCGCCAGGGAAAGAGACGGGGGCTGGCGGGGTCGCCGCTCCCCTGAGAGGCCCCGCTCCTCCCATGCGGGCCCAGGCGGATGGCCTCTGGCGGAGTGAGGGCGAGTCTCCGGGACTCGCGGCGCTGAGGAATATAAATATAAATATAAATATAAATATAAATATAAATATAAATATAAATATAAATATAAATATATTTATATTTATAACATGGATTTCTCTCAACAAATCATTATCAGACAATTCTCTTCATATTAACACAAGTAACTAAACACCAGATTAATTACAATGTCCCCATTTTTTAAATGTCTATTTAAATCATGTAAAATACTTTGATTTTTTGTTTGTTTTGAAGAAAGGCTCTTTATTTACAAACTTTAAGTCAAGCCTTGGGAATTAAGACTGCCAATTGACTGCCATCACCTGATGGTAATAATGTCCTGATTTATCAGCTTACAGCAGTGTTTTCCAAAACAGAGTACAAATATTAAAGGAAGTCTGGGAGAGGATTTTAGGTAGAATTAGGGCAAACATTTCTCAATTGATTACTCATGTATTAAGTTTTGAGATGTAAGTTCATGTTTCACATCACATCTGGTAAGTGTAGATGTGGTGACTATTGCCCGATTATCACGAAAAGGAGACAAAAAATTTCAAGTAAGGAGAAAACGCTGAATATTGCACATGAAATTTGAGACTAATTGTTCAACAGTAAAAATGTATCTGAACATCAAAGAGCAAGATTATTAGAAGTGCTGTGCCAATGTACTCAACTTAGAGGAAAAGCAGTGAACAAATGGAAAAACTTTCCATTTTGGTTGGAAAATTAACAAATCCAGTCCCTATTAGCCTCAAGTTAGTTCAGAAGAAAGCAAGCAGTTTGTATGAGAATTTAAATAATCACAGTAAATGCTACTTGACACTTTTGGCAACAACAGAAGGGGCATCACGTTCAAGGCATAAGGATAATGAGGAAAGAAGGGATAAATGAGCATAAGGAGCACTGGCGTGGGGAACAGATAAGAGATCCTGCAGCTATGACTGTGTTGCTGAGTGGATTTCCTCACGTGATGCAAACGGGGTTCATCTGTCAATAGACTTTCTCACTGAAGGAAATTAATCTAAATTGGGAAAAGATGCCTACAAAACCACATAACAATCAGTAAGAATGAGAAATCCCGAACTTTAAAGCTTTTACAGGACTCACACACATTTTTGGTGGAAAAGCATTTGAAGATTACAAGCCTAATTTCCTCAAATCACTTTGGACTTTTTGAACCTTACACAATTACAAGTAGAGAAAGTTCCCCAAGTTCTCCAAAAGCTAATGTCCCAACCCCCTTCCGATCAGTCCAAAACCTTGCCCAAAGTTTGGGCAAGATATGTATTTATTAAGTTTCTGGTACTATAAATTTTACCTGACATCTTTTCCGTTTTATTAAATTTTGGTAGTTTCTGAAATTTTCCAAAAACTTCTACTTTGCATGTGGTATTAAAGCACTGTGCATAATAGCTGTATATACATAGAGTCAAAATTATGTAAAAACAGTGTAACACTGATAAGGACACTGATAAGAGTAACTAGATTGGTGCAAACGCGCGTGATTTTTTTTTAAATTTCCTTTCTGCAGTAAATATAAAATCAGAAGGCGTAAAAACAGGTGTTCTATCAAGAACTCGAAAGCCCTGCCTTAAAAACTCATGTGCCAGGGGATGTAGGAAAGTGGGAGAGAAATGGGTCAGTGTCAAACATTATGTTAGGCTCCACGTGAACACCTTTCACAACAAAAAACTCACATTTACTGAATGTTCTCTATCTGCGGGCCAGTGTTTGTTCTCTGCGTGCCTTGCTTAATATCTTGGCCGAAGCTTTGGGGCTTTGTGGACATCATGAACTCGGGCAAGTTTTCTGAACTTTTCTACGCCCCTCCCCCCCGCAGTTCCTTCAGTTCTCGCATTTGCACGTGTTATGTGGGCAAGCCTTTCTAAAGCTGCTGCAAGGACAGAGTCACAGAATCGGGTAAGGCGCTTGGCTACTGTGCTTGGCACGGGTAAGCGCAGAATCCAGTGTCTGCTGTTATTACCCTCACAATCAGGTGGATGGCACCCCCAGTTTACCGGTGACCTGGGCTGGCAGAAGAGCACCAAGCCCTCAACGGAGCTCTTTTCCTCGGCAACAACGTCCAGTTCTCCCCCAGGCCACCACTGGCTTTTGGGGAGGGGAGGGAAAGGGGTTGAGAGGCGGTCAAATCGCGGCCAAAAGTCACACTGATTTTCCCGCAGCGGCTTTGACTGGCTCTCAGTCTAGAAACCACCGTTTGGAACCCGAGCTGAGAAGGCGCGAGAGGGAAGCCACCGTGCCCTCCCCACGCAGCGCAAGGCGGAGCCAGAACCTGAGAGCCACTCCCGGAGGGGAGGTGCGTGCCGGGCACTGACCTTCACTCTCCCGCCGGAGTCAGGCCCAAATTCGGCCATTCTCTTGAACATATTGTCCTACGGAAGAAGCCGCCGCCGCCAGGGAAAGAGACGGGGGCCGGCGGGGTCGCCGCTCCCCTCAGAGGCCCCGCTCCTCCCGTGCGGGCCCAGGCGGATGGCCTCTGGCGGAGTGAGGGCGAGTCTCCGGGGCTCGCGGCGCTGAGGAACAGCCAACTCCTCGCGGCGGGCAGCGTCCCGGAAGCGCGTTTAGTCCCGCGCGGTGTAGAGGCCAACGGAAGGAGCGGTGGTGGCGCCGTGCGCAGGCGCGAAGAGGTGGCGCGCGAAGGGCGCAGGCGCCCGGCCGGGGCTCTGCAGAGGGCGGACCTCGGTGGCGGGAAACCGCTGGAGGCGGGATGGTGGGGTTACCGTGAGGGCACGCCGGATAACTTGGATACGGAACAACCGAGAAGTCGGCTTTTGGAGCCAATACCTTATCATCCCTAGTGATGATTTTAGGGAGTGCCTAGGTGGCTCAGATGGTTTAGCTTCTGCCTTTTGGTTGGGTCATGATCTTCAGATCCTGGGATCCAGCGCCAAGTTGGGCTCCCAGCTCAGCGGGGGTCTGCTTCTACCCTCCCTGTGCCTCTCCCCCTGCTTGTGCTCTCTCTCTGGATACATTAAAAAAAAAAAAAAAAGTATTTTGAAATAAAGTTAAACTCGCTTGCCCACAGCTTTTCATTGTATTCATCCAGACCTCTGGGGTTGAATGGCTTATTTCTTATTTAATCCCTTTATCTTTGCTTTCTTTGACACTCTTGAGTTTATTATCCAAGGTCCATAACTTGACACAAACCTTCCCCCTATAGCCTGTTTAGTGGCACCCATAACTGCGCAGATTACCTGCACTAAATTAATGAAGTCAAATCAATTGAAGCCTTAGATGCTTGCCAGAAGTTCTCGCTCCTTTTTATCCCCTAGTTACTTTAAAATTTTACCCAGTCTCAAACCTCTAACTCTGACATCAACCCGCTCATTCTTATCAAATGACTGCATGTAATCTCATAGAGAAAACAAACCTCCACACCCGAAGACCTAAACAGAAGCTTTGGTTTGCTCAGTATCTTCCATCCCTTTTCTTCTGTTTAAGAGAGAAACTTCTTTCAGTTTAAAAACAGTTCTTCAGTCTTTTTGATTCTTCAAGGATTTTTTCCCCATCAGTCATACCCATTCCACCTGTATCTTCAGCTTTTCCTCTACTTTGGCTTTTTCCCATAAAAGTTAGGTTTAATCTTTCTCATTGAATACAGTATGGGGGGAGGGGGGCTGGCTGGCTCAGTGGGTTAAGCACCTGACTCTTGGTTTAGGCTCAGGTCATGATCTTAGGGTTGTGGGATCCAGCCCCAGTGTTGGGCTCCATGCTCAGCTGTGAGTCTGATGGAGATCCTCTCTCTCTTCCTCTCCTCCTCCCTCTAAAATAATTAAATCTTGAAAAACAAAAATAAAAAAAACAGTATGGAGGTTCCTCTAAAAGTTAAAAATAGAACTACCCTTCCACAGCAACTTCTTTCAAGATATGTCTCCGAAGGCAAAGGAAACAAAAGCGAAAATGAACTTTTGGGACTTCATCGAGATCAAAAGCTTCTGCACAGCAAAGGAAACAGTCAACAAAACAAAGAGGCAACCCACGGAATGGGAGAAGATATTTGCAAATGACACTACAGACAAAAGGTTGATATCCAGGATCTATAAAGAACTTCTCAAACTCAACACACACAAAACAGATAATCATGTCAAAAAATGGGCAGAAGATATGAACAGACACTTCTCCGATGAAGACATACAAATGGCTATCAGACACATGAAAAAATGTTCATCATCACTAGCCATTAGGGAGATTCAAATTAAAACCACATTGAGATACCACCTTACACCAGTTAGAATGGCAAAAATTAGCAAGACAGGAAACAACGTGTGTTGGAGAGGATGTGGAGAAAGGGGAACCCTCTTACACTGTTGGTGGGAATGTAAGTTGGTACAGCCACTTTAGAGAACAGTGTGGACAGTCCTCAAGAAATTAAAAATAGAGCTTCCCTATGACCCTGCCATTGCACTACTGGGTATTTACCCCAAAGATACAGATATAGTGAAAAGAAGGGCCATCTGTACCCCAATGTTTATAGCAGCAATGGCCACGGTCGCCAAACTGTGGAAAGAACCAAGATGCCCTTCAACGGACAAATGGATAAGGAAGATGTGGTCCATATACACTATGGAGTATTATGCCTCCATCAGAAAGGATGAATACTCAACTTTTGTATCAACATGGACGGGACTGGAAGAGATTATGCTGAGTGAAATAAGTCAAGCAGAGAGAGTCAATTATCATATGGTTTCACTTATTTGCAGAGCATAACAAATAATATGGAGGACATGGGGAGATGGAGAGGAGAAGGGAGTTGAGGGAAATTGGAAGGGGAGGTGAACCATGAGAGACTATGGACTCTGAAAAACAACCTGAGGGTTTTGAAGGGGGGTGGGTGGGAGGTTGGGGGAGCCAGGTGGTTGGTATTAAGGAGGGCACGTATTGCATGGAGCACTGGGTGTGGTGCAAAAACAATGAATACTGTTACGCTGAAAAGAAATTAAAAAAAAAAAAAAGAACTACCCTAGATCCAGCAATTGCATTACCAGGTATTACCCAAAGGATACGAAAATATGGATTTGAAGGGATACATGCACCCTGATGTGTACAGTAGCATTATCAATAATGGCCAAATTATGGAAAGAGCCCAAATGTCCATCAACTGATAAATGGATAAAGATGTGGTATAGGGGTGTCTAGGTGGCTCAGTCCTTTAAGCCTCCAACTCTTGATTTCAGCTCAGGTCATGATCTTAGGGTCCTGGGATCAAGCCCTTGTTGGGCTCCATGCTTAGCAGGGAGTCTGCTTCAGGATTCTCATTCTCCCTTGCCCTGTGCTCTTCCTTCTGCTTGTGCACACACACTCACTCTCGTTCCCTCTCAGTCAGTCAAAGAAAGACAAATACCATATGATCTCACTCATAGGTGGAATTTAAGAAACAAAACAGATGAGCATGGGTGGAAGAGGCAAACCAGGAAACAGAGTCTTAACTAGAGAAAAAACTGTTACTGGAGGGGAGGTGGGCAGGGGATGGGTTAAATAGATGATTGGTATTAAAGAGGGAACTTGTGATGAGCACTGGGTATTGTGTGTATGTATGATATATGTATGTACGATGAATCACTAAATTCTAACTATTACACTGTATGTTAACTAATGGAATTTAAATAAAAACTTGAAAAAACTTTTCTTATTAAAAACCAACCAACCATTTTTAATCCTGCCTATCTCTATTTTTGTATTATCCTTAAAAGTCAACCTTGAAAAGGCTCTCGATAGTTCCTATTTGTTTCCATATGCTCCTCAGTCCATCACCTTCTGAATTTCATCCTCACTGAAACCTCTCCAACCATAGTTACTCAGACCTCTCTATTAGTAAATCAACCACTTTCCCTTAATTCCTTTGACTTCCTGGCAGGATTTGACTCTGCTATCCACTGTTTCCCTTTGTGATGACCATTTCGTGGTTTTTCTTTTGTTTCTCTGCCAGCTGATTTCCAGATGGTTAGTCACTCTCTTCTCTATGTTCCCATAGTGGCTAAGGGATTGTAACACTTACCATGTTCTATATTAATAATTTTTGAGGACTGTATCTTATTCACCTTAGTATTCGTATGCCCTAGTGAACATTTCTTGTGCCTAATAATCAGTTTGTTGAATAGTAAATAACTGACAAATGGAGAAGTCAAGAAGACTTGAGGCTACTTTCCAAAGGTAGTTGAAACCAGTGAGATTTGTTAAAGCACACGTCCTACAAAATCCTTCACGTCACAATACAGGATTTTTTTGTCCCCTGTACCCTCACCTGAATTTGATCTTTTTCAAACTATGGCTATCAGAATGTGATCTCTGGAAACCAAATTTGCCCTTTGAATTTATTACTCTAGCTTTCTTCTTTCTGCTTTTCTCTTGTTTCTCAGAGGATTTTTTATTCTTTGCTTAAAATCTTACCCTAAGTATGTTTGAAGTAAGATAACATTTAACAAAACAAAATTAAGCAAATACATAAAACATATTGAGAACTTTGGTGAAAAGATAATGAATTGAATACACAACTTTTGCTTCCTCCCAAAACTCCTTTAAAGCAAGTGAAGAAACTTTCAAAAATGCATAAACCTGTAAGGATAAGAGGAATGAAGGGAAAAAAGAAAAAAAAAAGAAGAATGAGAGAGAAGGCAAAACAAAATCTTGAAATCTGGACTACAAATGGTGGTATAGGGCAGTTCTGAGAGCTGAGCAGTCAAAGCTAATTACCGTCCCTCCTCCCCGCCAAGTCTCAAGAATTTGTAGTTGTGGGGAATCTCTGGACATGAGTGGAAGGAGATGTAAGACAGAAGCTAACAAAGACGGATTGAGAGTCTGTTTCCTGGGTGGCACAGTTGGTTAAGCCTCAGGCTCTTAGTGTCAGCTCAGGTAGAGATCTCAGGGTCTTGAGGTCAAGCCCCCCTTTGGACTCCGCGCTCAGCGTGGAGTCTGCTTTAGATGAGATTCTCTCTCCCTCTCCCTCTGCCCCTCCCACACGTGCTCTGTCTCTCCCTCTCTCTCTAAAATAAATAAATAAATCTTTTAAAAAGAAATATTAATATAATTAAGCAGTTACCTGTTATTTACTTACCACCAAGGAATAAAACAGGAAAAACATGGTCTCTGTTTTGGAGAACACTAGGTAGAGTTGAAGGAGGAATACCATGCAGAAAATAGGTAGACTAATGAAACATATGCTTGCCAGGCCAGGACCTCTGTCCTTCACTTAACTTTTAAAATGCTAGCAACCAGGCCTTTGTTTTCTAGCAGGCAATAGGAAAAGGTTTTTCTGGGGAATCTGACCAGCCTAAGAGAAGAGATCTAAGGATCCCGATGAAACTAACTCAACACAGCTTGATCATCCTTCAGCAAAGTATGCATAGTCAAATCCATATAGGCTCTTAGAACTCAAAATTAAAGTTTTCGTTTTCCACGCCTAATAGGCAGATAACCAAGGATTACCAAATAACTGAGAAATGCCTCTAATATGAAAGATACAATTCAAAATAAACAAAATGGTGTATTAGAGGAAACATAGGGAAGTAATGTAAAAACAAACAAAACAGAACCATTATTATTACTATATTCAGATAAAATAAAAAATAGTAAATATGACACAAA